TGCACACTGTGGCCCTGCCCTCTGTGCCCCCTGCCCACTGTGGCCCTGCCCACTGTGCCTATGGACGACTCTACTGGTATCTGGCACCATGGGGGCCCTTCAGGAGAATCGAAAGAGCCTGCTGTTATTGAGGGTGTTTGATAATGCTGAAAAAAGTGTCACCAGGATTCAGAGCTTAGCTGCATGAACAGAGGCAGAAGCATCATGGAAAATAGGCTAAGAGAGTGATTATTAGAAGCAACTTATCATTTGCTGCTTCTGAGAGATTCAACAGTCTGAGGTCACAATGACCTTGGAAAAGAATGTTTCAGATCCTTGACCTGGGTGAGAGAATCGAGATGTCTGTCTGCATGGAATGGACTGAAGTGGTGTCTGAGGTTGGCTTCTCTCAGAAAGTGAAACCAATGAAACTTTGCAGGAAGAGACAGATAGAAATTGATTTCTCTCAAGGAAGCGGTTCACAGGCCTGCAGATGGTGGCTGGTCCCCATCCAGGGAGGGGCTTCTGAGAGGTCCAAGCTCAGCCACAGACTGCTGGCTGCAGAGGTCATGAGTCCAGGATTGTCAGGTCACTGGTTCATTCCTGCAGTGAGAAGCCAGATGTAGAATCTAACTCAGCAAAAGCTCATTGGCTTTGCCAGAGTTCAGATACGTATTCAGTGCACACCCCTGGCAGGCTTCCCCATGGTGGAGGAGGCTGACCACCATGTTTCTGTAGAGCTACCCCTACTAATGCTGCCTCTTCACTGTCGTCGTCACCGTTGTTGTGTACCCATGACAGCAGAACAAACTTCAGCAGGTTTTCAGAGACAACTTAACCGCATGGAAGCAGCTTGCCTGTCTTCCTCTTGTGAAGCAGCTGGTGGATTTGAACTGCATTCCTCAGATTTGGCAGTGTAACGCCTTACAACTGAGCCACTGGAGCTCCCTGTTACCATTGTTGTTGTTGTTATGTGCTCTTGAGCTGATTACGACTCATAAGAAGCTCTGAACCTATCCTGAGCCACTCACTGTCTCTAACACACCTGACCCCATTGCCACAGTCTCTTTGTCAGTCCGTCTCATCCGTGGTCTTCATCTTCTGCACTGGCCCTTCACCCTTTCAAGCATGATGTCTTTCCTCAAGGACTGGCCCCTCCTGCAACATGCCCTAAGTATGTGTGATCGTGTGAAAAGAGCAAGAGCCATGTGGGCAGTGCCATATCTGACCTTTACCGACCTCACAGTGTGGATGAGGAAACCGTCCCCATCCACGGAATCAGTAACACAAAACCAATTCCTATGAAGTCAGACGTGTCCCCCACACTCCCCAACCTCAACACCAATGTCACTGCTTTGGTGGGTCCAAAATCCAACGTATAGCTCACCGAACCATATTGAGGAAGTCAAAAGATTATAATTCATATTAGTAACAGAATACAGTCAAGACGGCTTCCACGTGTCAGCCTCAAGGCTCACTGTCTTCCCAAGTTCTCAGTCCTGCCAGTATTGGCTTCCCTCCCCCCGATTGTCAGCAAAATTCTCAGTCCTGCCAGTATCGCCCCCTCCCCCAGAGGGTCTCATCTCACACCAGTTCTCCAGTTCAGACTGGCGGTAACTCCTGTCCTGAAGCATTCTCTACATTTCACCAGGTTTGAGGGGTCTCCCTTCTCTGACTAGGGACAGAATTCCCTCTTCTGGTGGGTGAAGATTATCTGTCTGTTCTCTGCAGCTAGTGCTCTTCAGTTTATTGGAGAGTCTAGCCTTTCCCCTTGTAGATTGTTGAGACTGGCCAGTCCCTTCGTGGCTTGGCAGATAGCTAATCCGTTTGTGGATAAGCCAGCACGCCTCACTCATACAGTCCCACCCGTCCACATAGTCAGTCGTCCCCACTAGAAAAGCCACACTGAAAGAATGCAGAAAGTCACAATCTTCAGGACAGATTCCCTGAGTTCTCATGTAGGTAACAGAATTAAACAACACATCTTGGTGGGTTTTTAATTGATTGGCATGCCAGGCTAACAGGTTTTGTCCGGAGCATGTGCTGGGCTTGGTCTGTGTTGGCATGCTCTGCTAACCTTCACCTTGACATCAAGTTCTCCCAGGACCTCACATGGATGAGATACTGAGTGGTGTGGAATTTGGGGTCTATCAGTTTTCTTACTGGTCCTCCCACGCTCACTCGGCAAGTCTCTGTCACCTCCCTCACATTGGCGTTGGTTTCCATCTTTGTAAGAGTTAAACATAATTCAACATTTTCAAAAGTTAAAATCCAGTTTCTTTTTTTTTTTATTTTGTGTGCATGTACCGTCAAATCAGATCTGACTGGTACAGGAGGATATTGCGCCTCCTTCTCCGGCAGAGCGTCTGGTGGATTCGAACTGTGTTCCTCTGGGATTGCTGCGCAGCTTCTTGCCACTAGGCCACCAGAGCTCCAAAATCAAGTTTCTTAATGGACGTGAGAAAAATCCTTAGAAAACCAAGTATGCTCAGCGCTTTTCATTTTAAACATTGTATTTTCACTTAAACATTTAAAATGCTTCTCTTGAGCGCACCGACTTGGGACGGAGCTCCAGTTTCAGCATCTCCATGTGCTGCTCACATGGTTTCTCTCCGGTCCACGACAAGCTGTGTGAAGTGAGAGTGTTGTTCCTGTGAAGTGGGGTTAGCTCGCTGCCACGGGGCTTCTGAAAGGCTGTCTGCACTCCATCTGCCTGCTAGAGACCGGCTGCTCTCTCTGTCCACCGAGACAGCAAAACCATTTCTTTATTTCTTCCATCCTGATACTCGGACCTACATTAATGGTCTACATCACAGAAAGTCACACTATTCCTGCCCGGCTTTATTCCGTAGGGACGAGTGAATGAAACCATTCTCTGACCGGGAGGGTGGCTCTTCACGGAGGGTCTGGACTGTTGGCATGCCCACTGGCCAGTTAAGGACTTGCGTGATGCTCGTACCAAACACACTGGACTGGGTGGAGAGATTTCCAGGAGCTTCATTTCCTCCTCAGCTGTTTGCCACGCTCGTGCAGTACGTCCTTGCTCAACCCTTGAGCTCACAGGGTGTGACAGATCTGCAGACTTTTTGCTGTGTAAGCAAATGGTGTTTTACATGGAGAGAGAACTCGTGCACTAACAGCTATCCATTAAAGCTAGGGACAGCTTAAACCATGACAGAGTGAACGTAATTTTGAGTCAATTTGTTGTGATTTATCGAAAATAACTTACCCAGCAGTGCCCTCTGCTTCTGGTTCTTGTCGCTGGTCAGTTTTGCTGACCATAACATTTGTTTATTTCTCGAGTTGCTGTCAGCAGATTTATCAGTATGCATATCTCATGACTGTAGTATTGGAATGGAAAAATCCAAGATCTTAACTGAATTATCAGAGTTATGATCTTTTAATGAGCAGAGGGCTTGAACATTGTCACTCTTGTCAGACATCTCGTGGTGGGTGGGCTGCGGCTGCGGGAGGTGGCAGAAACCATGGGAACCTGTGATCCCGTCCGGGAAGCCTTCTGAGTGCAGTGAGGGCTAACGGGTCCCTTCATGTTCTGTCTGCGCCCGATCGGCCCTCACTGAGTGTGGGACGTGAGTCCTGTGGGAAGGAAGGCATGCCCGGGGCAGCATCGTGCTGACCCTGGATGTAAACAGAGGACCAAGAAGGTGCAGAAGGAAAGGCCCCTCCGTGTATGGGGCTGCCTCATGGGGTCTGTGCGTGTGGCTCACCTGCAGTCCCAGGGTGGTGAGGGTGGGTGTGAGCACACAGGTGCACGCATGCGTGTGTGCGTGTGATACCCCATGCCGACATGCTCTCTTTTCTCTCTTTGAAGCTGTTTTAAAAGCCTGTGCTGATGGAGGTGCCAACCGCTTGTATGACGTCACCCAGGGCCAGCGGGAGAGGTATGTTCTCTCAGACCCTGTCCATCCTCCCTCTCCCCTTGCTTCCTGATGGGCAGGCTGCTGCTGTCCCCTGAGCCGGTTCCATCACAGTGACTGATGTGAGCCAACCCTCCTTGACTGACCACCCCCCCAGAGAGAGCTGGCTGACCCCCACTGTGGGCCCCATGTGGGCTCAGCAGGTCCACTGTCACCTAATACCACATCCAAGAGTAAGGGTCCTGTCCCCACTGTGGGCCCTGTGTGCTGTCAGCAGGCCCGCCCCTTGCAGAGAGAGCAGACTCTCCACACCATGGACCCTGTGTGCTGTCTGCAGGCCCGCCCCTTGCAGGGAGCTGGCTGTCCACACTGTGGGCCGTACGTGAGCGAGTCCCTGACACCCTCGGGTTTCTCTGCTCAGGGTCTCTCAGGCAGGAAGAGGTCAACCCACTGCTTCCATGGACTTCCTCTCCCACACCGGGGCCTCGGTCAGTGGATGACGAGAGTCAGCCCTCGCTAGGACCAGGTGGCAGTTTGAGTTGTACACACAGTTTAATAGTAACTGATCTCGTAGAAACAAAAGAAAAATTTTGTTTAAGCACCATACGATGTTTTTGTCATTGTTGTGTGAAGCCCAGTATAGTTTATTCTCATTTCATTGCATCTTATGCATAACCTATCAGACTGCTCACAAAGGTTGCCAGTTTGAATCCAGCCGCCTGCCTGTAGAGTAAGGGTGGGCAGTCTCCTCCTGGAACCAGTCTGGCCTTGGAAACACCAGGAGGGCCTGTGGAGGCAGAAGGAACGCGATGGCGGAGGGTGTGGCTCGGCCTAGTTGGGAACATGTAGTGATAAATAACTTACTTCATAATAATAGGCTTCAGTGGTGTCAGATTTGCTGATCTTGGCATGTGGAGCTCTTGAGATCAGTAAGACTCTGCTGGATGGAAACTGACTGGAAATCCAGCTCATTGCTGACAGGTTTGCAGCCTGGCCCGTTGGCAGCCATGAGCATGTGGAGTGGAGATGATGAAAGGAGCCTGGCTGGCTACGGAGCGAGCTCCGCCTCCGCTGTATGTGTCCTTAAGGGTCCAGATGTGTTTACAGTTCCCCCGCCCCCTCCCTGAGACAGAAACACAAACACAAATGCACAGTATAGCCCCAGGGATGGATGGCTGTCTCCACGTTTGAAGTACTGTCTCTGTTAGACATCAGAATGTCTGACCTCAGACTTCAGATCTGGGAGCTGAGGCTGGGCTGCGTGTGGAGGTGCCGTGGGCAGGGGTGTACATCCCAGGACTGCACGTGTGTGGAGGTGCCGTGGGCAGGGGTTCACGTCCTGGGACTGGACGTGTGTAGAGGTGCCATGGGCAGGGGTGCCCGTCCAAGGACTGGACGTCTGTAGAGGGGCTGGTTGCCTGCAGAGGGGCCAGGTGCCTGCAGAGGAGCTGAGTATCTGTAGGGGGACCAGGTGCTCGTGTCTCCAGGCCCAGATGCCTGTGGAGGTGGTGGTGGTAGTTAGGTACCATCAGGTAGAGTATGACTCACAGCGACTTTGTGAACAAAAGCTGTGAACCCTGTGCTTCCTGTCCATCCCCACCCTCTCCGACACCCTCAAGCCCTTGCTGCAGTCACTGTGTCAGTCCACCTGGTTGAAGGTCTTCCTCCTCTTCAACGTCACTCCACCTTCCCGAGCATGATGTCGCTTTCCAGTGAGTAATTCCAGCAGCAATTAAAGATCGTTGGTTTGAAGCTGAAAAGTCCAGCAGAAGCAGCGAAGAGTCACGGTTTTCTCCATTTCTCTGTAATATTACTTATGTGCACCGATTACCAAGTTTGAGTCAGGTTGATGGAAGGGAAAGATGATTGGCCCCTTTTAAAGGGAGTTTACGGCCTGACACCTGGTACCTGAGGAGACGCTCTGCTCTAAATGATGGCGCTCTGGGTGCATTTGGCAGCCTGTATGTTACCTGGCAGGGGTCGGGTGCTCCCAGCCAGAGCCCTCAAACCTGTCTGCACACAGCTCTTCATAATGCCGAGTGACTGGAGAAGGAAGGGTGGTCCTGAAGGATTGTGTGTGAAGTGACTGGAGAAAGAAGGGTGGTCCTGAAGGGTTGTACGTGGAGGGACTGGAGAAGGAAGGGTGTCCCTGAAGGATTACGCGTGAAGTTGGTGTCAGTTCTCTGAGCAGAGCGTTTAAGCAGCAGCAGAGTTAGGTGTACATGCGTGTTTAACCCGGAGCCTCGTAGTTTATGGATCTGCCGTTTCGTGAGGGTTCTGCACGCCCCTCCTTCCCGCTCAGGAAATCATTCCTGCCTCCGCTTTCCAGAGAACCTTGGCTGTTTTAGCAAGAGCTTCAGGCTCTGTTTCGTTTTACTTTTATAGAAGATTGTTTGGGCATTTGTTAGTACTTAGTCCGGTGTTAGGTGGCGTGGAGGCCGGCGGCCCTGTGGCCCCTGCCCTGTGCTGTCCGCCTCGTCATCTCTGGGGCTCCAGCTGTTATCACAGGCTCGGTGTTGGTCCATCTGTGAGAATAGCTCGGGCCCATTTTGCACCACTTGCGGCCTTTTCCCCATGATATGTGCAGGCCGCTGACACACAGGGTCATTGGTGTCACAGGACACGACATGTATGTTGGTTTATTATTTTGTCGTTGTTGTGACACAGCCCCTGTGCACACGTGCAGCCCTGACAGTCACCACCTGCATCCTGCTGCTCAACGGCCTGTGTCCACTCGCTCCATCAGGTCAGGTGCCCGCCTCGGGCCACAGTGACGCGGTTCGAGTACCACACCCTGACGTGCATGTGACCGGTTTTCCTTAATAAAGGTTAAGCTGGTCAACACTATTTGCAAAGAACTTTCCACTTTGTAACATGTATTGATTCAGCTTTAAAATTTCAAGTGAGAGGCACTGAGGAAGTGATTTTTTAAACTTTTTAAAAATGCATAATATACCTGAAATAGTACATTTCATATAGTCATTAAATGTACTATGCAAATAAGTATGTAATTAAATTTATTTTAAATACAAATCCTATTTCTACTTAATCATATTTATGTTTAATTTATAAGTTATAAATTACAAATATAATTATATGTAATCTACTGGGACCATTTAAGTGGCACTAAAAGGTAGTATACAATGTGGGGGAAAATTGGAATTTTTCATTAACTTGAGTGGCATGTCCGACCGAATTGCATTAACATGCGTTTAAGTAAAGCTTTAAAGTCAGTGTGTTCACTTAGTGGTAGTCACAGAATTCTAAATGAATCTTCCCTTTTTAGAATGAAAATATTACTCTGTGGAATAAACATAGGTATTTACTTAGAATTAAGCGATCAGAATTGTCAATACCAGCAGCGCTCGCGCCATGCTTGGGGTTGAGAAGTCCTGGTGCGGGCACCAGCAGGGCTGGGCAGCAGGAACAGGGTACTAGGGAGCCCTGTCCACAGGCAGCAGCCATGGGTGCATGCCCTGGGCTCGGAACATAAACCTTCCCCATTTACTGTCATGTACACGTCACTCCTGGACCCTGCAGAAGCCCCTTCCCACTAGGCCCATCTTCAGATGCCTGCTGCTGTAGCAACAGGGGCCTCAGTGAAAACACCAGGGTTTTTCAGAAACTGACGGGTCATGGATGAAATGGTGGTATCTCAGTCACCTCCACACACGCCAAGGTGCACTTTGGTACAGGCTCTTTTAAAAGTGAGCTTCGCTGGTTTAATTTGAAACCATCTATGTTAATGCCTTTGAGTTGTGGTGCTGGAGAAGAGTACTGAGAATTCCATGGACTGCCAAAAGAACAAACAGATACGTCCTGGAAAGAGTACAGCCACAGTGGAGGCAAGAATGATGAATTCTTTGGGAATGTAGCTAGGCAAGGCTGTTCTGTGGAAAAGGACATCATGCTTGGAGAGGTGGAGAGTCAGCTAAGGAGAAGAGGACCTCAACACGGTGGATTGACACTGTGACTTCAGCAGTGGGCTCTAGAGTGTCAGAGATGATGAGGATGGCACAGGATAGGGCAGGTTTCGGACTGGCTGTTCATGGGTCACTGTGAGCCTTGACTGAGTGGTGTCTAACAACACAGCATGTGAAATGCCTTAGTCATCTCTTGCTGCTGGAACAGGAATACCACAGGCAGTGGGCATCCTCACAGCACAGGAGGTGCCTGCCGTGAGGAACTGCATTCTTGTTCCACTCTTCCCCCATGGGGTTCTTGTGGGCCTGGCGTACCTTGATTCTCTCCCTGTGTGCAGTCATCATACTTGCTGTGGTCTGGGAGGTTCTCAGCTTGGGGACCCCAGTTCCAAAGGGCCTGTTCTGCCTCCGGCTCTTTCTTATTGGTAATGAGGTCCCACCTTCTTACACTTCTCTCTCCTGTCCAATAGATATTCTGTAAGCCACCCCATTGGGAAACTCCCCTCCATCGGGTAGACCTGTAACCTGAGTGAGGGTGTTATATGGCACCTGAATCCCCTTCCAGCAACTGACTGATGACATCTTAGAGAATGAGTTGTGCTGGACTTAACAACCTCACAATAAAAACAGTGGGGGAACCTGCCTGTTGGGGGGGTGGGCGATGCACCAGTCCAGGAAACCGCAGAGATCTGTGCTGTCACGTGTACCCTTGAGGTGGAGTCCACGTGCTGGCACGCATCAGCAGGTTCTGTTCAGGGTGCTGTTTCCTCAGGGAATGTGCTGTCAGTGGCCTCTCGGCAGCACCTGCTAGTTCTTAAAGCCAAATTCTTCATGATAAGCCGTCTGTGCGGAGGGACTACCCTCTTGATTGTCGATGTCAGAGAGACTGCTGTGGTGCTGTTAGGCTTGCTCTGAAGCGCTGCGTGTGCATCCTGGCAGCACAGTGGTCAGTGATGGGCCGTTGGAGGATGGGTCCTGTTACTCTGTCCAGCATCCGTGCCCTGTGTATCGTGTGAACCTTGAGTGGTGATGGTTTTGGGAGGATGTTAGAGATAACTTTGAAAATGAGTAAATTGATAGACTCATTGACTGGTCCAGTAGACTAGTTCGTCAGTTGCCAGCCTGATAAAGGACTTGAGTAGCCATCAAGAAAGTGTGCAGTGGAAGTTGGGAGTGGTTATGGGGGGTGGGGGGATCCCTGGGACACACCTCCGAGCGCTGAACTGCAATCACAAGGTTGGCATCTGGAATCTGCCTTGTGATGCTTCAGGACGACGTGATTCTTCAGGACGATGTGATTCTTCAGGATGACATCAGGACGATGTGCTGAACTTCAGGACGACGTGCTGAACCGTTTACACAGAGATGGCCTCAGGGATGTTTTGAGCAGGACCGTTGACTGGATGCCACTGAAGCGCTGGTCTGACATAACCTCTAGGATTTTTGCTCAGAGTTGCTGTACCGTGTTGTGGTTGTTGGTGTAACATTCTTTCTTACCACTTCTCTTAATACTGGGTTTGTTGTTTTGTGCCGTCAAGTCAGAACCAACTTAGAACTCACCCCAGTGGGTTTTCAGAAGTTACTAAATCGCACGGACACTATTGCTCATCTTCCTCCTCCAGAGCATCTGGTGGATTCAAACTGCGCAACTTGGAATTGGCAGTGCAGCTCCTCACCCCTGTGCGCCACCAGGGCTCCCTTCTCACGCTTAAGAAAACTTGGGGTTCAAAGAAACGTTGGTCCAACACAGATCAGTCACATTAAGCTGATCAAAGAGACGAAAACTTCTGTTAGGGTTTGGGACCTGGAAAAAAATGATGGGAAGGCATAATGTGAGCCCTGGGTTTGGGTGTCTGTCATTACCTCTCCGGAAGTCACCCACAGCCTGTTCGGGTAGGAGATGGCTGTCCCTCGGTTCCTTCCTTTCCTCCTGGCCAGTGCGGTGAGAGCTGCATCAGTTGTCCTAGGCTGGATGTTGCTCACCCTATGGCTCAGGAGGAAGGGACAGTGGCAGCTGCCCCTTGTCCTTCCGGCAGGGTGTCCTGGGACACTTTTGGAGCCCGAGTGTGTGCTGGTAGCGTCTCTCTGCGATGGTGTCGTGTGTGTCCAGCACTGGGGCTTGGTTGCGTTGAGGTGGGACTCCAGCTGGTGCAGCTCCAGCCTCCCAGGCCCCGTGTGGGGCTGTGGGGTTGAATCTGTCCTTCTTGGAGTCAGAGCAGAAAGTTAACTCTAATAGTATGTAAGAGAGGATGCTAGCACATATTCCGTGTCCTCCTTACAGGGCACATAGTTCTAAGGCTCCAGAGGGTCGACTTTTTGTACAAAAGCACTGAAGAATGTCAAAAAGTCTTATTTTTCTACAGTTGTGTGTTTTTAAGTGGGAACCAATTCTATTAAGACATGTAAACATTTTATATCAAAATAATAAATGATGGCTTCTGAAGGTGAAGTACACTTTCTGGAATGAGATCCGAGGGGCGGGAGGTGGCTGTGGTATTAGAAGGACCCTCACTGGGGCCAAGGCTCTCCCTCTGTCGGCATCTCGACTTGACTCTATTCCCACTTTACCTGGAAGACTTGTTTCTAGAACTGTGCCAGTAGAAATTTTCAAAAACATTTTGAACTGGCTTCAGCTACATACAAACTCCAAACACTTGTCATCATTCATCCTGTTCAGATCAGTGACAGTTCCGGACTTTGTGAGGATGTAATAGTGTAAAACTGCGTGTATGTGGAAGGCAGTAAGTGAAGTTGGGGGGACTCTGCATGCGTCTTTGGATTGAGAACAGTTTTGTTTTCATTTTTACTGTTTCCTGAAGCAGTAATCTTTAGTCCTTCTTCTTATTTCCAAGATGAATATTGGCTGTGTGGTGAGCTGATGGGTCTCCCTTCCTCCGTCATCAGTATCAAACTCACGTCTGAGTGATATGACATGCCCTTGGCTTGTGGAAAAAGGGCTCTTTTAAAATGTTCTTCTTTTGACATTTTCTTTAATTCATTCATTCTTGCACATTTTCTTCCCTCTCATGCCTCCCCTCCCCCTCAGTTCACTTTGCAATGTACCTCTTGTTCCAGATTGTAGTCATACATGGAATACCTAATCATACGTTCCTTTCAGACGCTTTGCCTTCATCTGTTCCAGTGCTGTGTTCATATCCACCCACTCTTCTAGTCTCTCCCCACCCCTCATGTCGGTCCTATTTTATAACAGGGGTGTTGTGCAGTGTTTGTCCTTTTGTGACTGAGATACTTCACTCAGCATAATGACCTCCAGGGTCACCCATGTTGGTAGTTCTTTAGGGAATCACACAACAAATGCCGGTGGAAAGACTTGGACTCTTATTCCCTGCTGGTGGGAATGTAAAGTGGTTACCTCCATTACGGAAGGTGGCGCTTTCTCAAAAAGTTGGAACTGGAAATACCATTTGACTCAGCAATTCCACTACTAGGAATGTATCCTAAGGAAACCAGAGCCACAGCTCAAACGTGTGTATACACACCCATGTTTATTGGAATGTTATTCACAGTAGCAAAGAGATGGGACCAACCCAAGTGCCAATAAACAAACGCATGGATAGAAAAACTAAGTCATAGTCACACAGTGGAATATTATACAGCACTGAAAAACAATGAACTCATGAAACTCCCCCCTATCTTTTAAGTACATTAGTTTTCCTCTTGTCTTTACAATAGTAGTTTTAAGTCTAACAACTGCGTGTCTTATGCTGAAGGCTTATGTGCAACCCTCTCTTTCAGCTTTCTACCAGAATTCATCAACGGGGATTTTGACTCCATCAGACCTGAAGTCAAAGCCTTCTATGCCGCCCAGGTAACTAGAGCGCCAGCCTCTCTCGACTTCGCTCAGATGATTGCTGCTTTGTGAGATAGAAAGCTTTCTTTCTGTCGTGTTCTCTCTGGTTCTGTTATACGGAGAAGGGGAGAGCAGCTTATTGTTTATGTTTTATTGTGTTTTGAGAAGAGTAATTATCCTACACATTTGACAAGCACAACACAATTTAGAGACGTCAACTCAGAAAAGCATTAATTAGCCTTTTGTCTAAGCAGATATTTTGAATACTCTCCTACTGAATAATGTATTGGCTGGGTCCATGTTGTGACATGAGGATTTTTGTTTTCTTGGTGTTAAGATACAGACCATATTAAAGACTGTAGTCACTGATCTTCTGCAGCAAGTGCTTCAAGTCTCTTTCACATTCTGCAAGCAAGGTTGTGCCACCTGCATAAGGCAGATTGTTGGTGAATCGTCTGCCAATCCTAATGCCACGCTCTTCTTCATAGAGACCAGATTCCTGAATTATTTGCTTAGCAGACAGTTTAACTAGGTCTAGAAAAAGGATATAAGCCAAACATCCTTAGTTGTTATTTCTTTTCCCACAAGTAGTGTTTCATTTCATTTCATTTCATGAATATACTGGGTGTGACCTAACCAATTCATAATTGAGTTACCTTTAAAGTGTGACCTTTTTTGCAATTATAAACTATTAAAAACATCTGGTAATGAATTTTGTAAACAATAAGATTGCTGTCTCCTAGAATTTTTAGGTTTTTCCATTAATTTTGTTTTCTTAAAACAGTTATCTAGTTAAAATGAAACCTCCTTTTATAACTTGAACTTTAAGCGTAACCTCCAGAGTATTCGGTGGAGGGCCAGAGGGAGAGGAGACCCCTCATCACGCTGGATCGACACGGTGACTGAGCGCGAGCGTGGTGGAGATCCTGAGGATGACACAGGACAGGACAAGGTTCCGATCTGTTGGTTAAAGGGTTGCTGTGAGTCACAGGCCGTTCATTACACACTCAACAGTTACTGTGATACAACATCATGATCGATGGGGAAATGTTGTTGTTAAGCATTTCATTTTACTTAGACCCACAATCAACAACCATGGAAACAGCAGTCAGCAAGTCACACCATTGCTGCCTTGGACATTGCTGTCAAGGATCTCTTTAAAGTGGTAAAGAGCAAGGATATTAATTTAAAGACTAAGGTGCACCTGACCCATGCCGTGTTATGTTCACTTGCTTCTTGCTTTATATACATGTGCGAGTTGAACAATGAATACGGCCAACATATTGATGCCTTTAAATTGTGATGTTGATAAAGAATTCTGTTGGAGGAATTCTTTTTCATTTCCTGCTTTGATTTTTATGCCTCAGAAGTGAACTTACATTTGTTAAGTAAGATTAGGTGGAATCCCGACTCCTGCATGGTATGGCTGCGGGTTGGACATATTTCCAGTTTGTCTGGGTGTCCGTAAGTACTGAACCTACAAAGCTGGCAGATTCAGGGAGGTCTTTTCTACGAGAGCCAGCATGTCACAGTTAGCACATGTGCCCTTGCGTGTCAGGTTCCCTGAGGAAAGTGAGACAGAGTGTTAATGTGGTGGCATCCAGTCTGTGTATACCGCTGTCTCCAGTGCAGGATGGCTTTTCCAGCTGCTTTAGTTAGCTCCACCCTC